TTTGCAACCAAGATTCTTAGGGTCTTGGATTCTGAGGAACCAGGATCAGAGAGTGATGGCCTGTCCAGAAGGTAAAGATGACTAAGGAGAGAATTCATTGCTTTGTATCTGTTTCAGCTCAGTGCTGCAGTGATTGGTACTGGTAGAAGGAGCTCCAAATTCTGCCATGAACACCGGATGTCCTATGTGGACTATATAGTCCCACGGAAGGTCATTATATCCAATGGCCACGCCACTTTCATCAAGGCTCCTAACTGCCAGACCATACATTGCTGCTGAAAATTGTTCATTAATTCTCATCAGAGTGACGTTTTAATGTCATAGTAAGAAAGGAAAAGCAAGCGCCCATAAGTAGAATATAACATACACAGATTCGCATATTTTGGGGGGATTTTTATTATTGACAGGAGTACCCCTTTAAGACAACGCATACCCATAAACAGCAATTGTTTTGCTGGTTTCTAGTCTAGATTTGGCGGAGATTTCAAATTTTCCGTCACATTCCTTTGCTTTTAAAGCTGAACTCCAAGCCGATATTACTGATCAATGTATGCATTCCTTTAGGTATGAATTTGTATTAATGGCTTTATGTAATAAATAATAACTAATAAATTAAAAATGATGTAATAATACATTATGTATTGCTTAACCATGCTTTTGCTATTCGGTGCTGTTTAACCATTCATAGCCTTTTTTCCTGCAAGATATCTATCTGAATGCAATGTTCTGCTAGTTGTAAAATTATTTGAATAAATGTTTCCTTTACTTGGAAATGTTATCAAAAATAAAGCAAAACAATGAACATAATAAAATATTTTGCTCATTTCCACAGATGCAAATACAGATTGTACTTGCGGTGTCCAAGAGCTCCAGCTGCTGTGCTTGAAGCAGATCTCAAATTTTGGAGGTCTGCTCTTCCTGATGTTTAGGTCTATACAAAGGTTCTACCCTTAGCTGACATGGGAATAATATACTGTTGGCCAGTTGTTGGTCACCATGACTCTTGGTCTACAGTTCCCAAAAGTTCGAATGGACATAGCTTTCGTTTTACAAGAACTCCCATCGATATGAGCCCATATTTACCCTATCTCCATCACTGCCCTCCACAGACTCAATGATCCAGCCCTGGTACTCATCTAGGTGTCATTCTTCCTGCAAGGCCAGGGGGTCAACGTTCTACCCATCTGCCTGGGCTTACAGGAGAATCTACATGAGCCCATATTTACCCTATCTCCATCACTTTCCCCCACAGACTCACTGATCCTGTCCTTGTACTCTTCTAAGCATCATTCTTCCTGTGAGCCCAGGGGATCAATGTTCTAGCCACCTGCCTGGGATCACATGAGAATGATGTAGAAGAGAGCAGCACCACATCATTATATTGAGAAAGAAGCAGATTCAAATTTTTGGAGATCTGCTGTTCCTGATGTTTAGGTCAAGACAAAGTTTTTACACTTAGCTGGCATGGGAGGAATATACGGTTGGCCAGTTGTTAGTCACCATAACTCTTGATCTAGTACCCAAATGTTTGAATAGATATAGCTTTTGTTTGATAAGAACGGCCATCTAAATGAGCCCATATTTGTCTTATCACCATCACTGTCCCCCACAGACTCACTGATCCAGCCTGATACTCTTCTAAGTATCATTCTTCCTGTGAGCACAGGGGATCAAGGTTGTACCCACCTGCCTAGGCTCACAGGAGAATGCTGTAGAAGACAGCATCATCATGGCATTATATTGAAAAAGAAGCAGATTAAAATTTTGGGAGATCTGGTGTTCCTGATGTTTAGGTCAAGACAAAGGTTCTACACTTAGCCATCATGGTAGGAATGTACTGTTGGCCAATAGTTGGTCACCGTGACCTTTGGTCTACAGTACCCAAATGTTTGAATGGAAATAGCTTTCATTTGACAAGAACGGCCATCTACATAAGCCCACATTTTCCCTATTTCCATCACTATTCCCCACAGACTCACTGATCCAGCCCTGGTACTCTTCTAGGTCTCATTCTTACTGCGAGGCCAGGGGGTCAACATTCTACCCACCTGCCTGTGCTCACAGGAGAATGCTGTAGAAGAGATCTCCTGTTTCTGATGTTCAGTTCAAGGTTTGTAGAGGTCAAGATAAAGGTTCTACACTTAGCTGACATAGGAGGAATATACTGTTGGCCAGTAGTTGATCACCATTACTCATTGCCTACAGTACCTGAATGTTCAAGTGGAAACAGCTGCGTTTGACAAGAATGGCCAGCCACATGAGTCTATATTTACTATATCTCTCACTGACTCACTGATCCAGCCCTGGTACTCTTCTAGTCATCATTCTTCCTGTCCACGGGGTCAAGGTTCCACCTACCTCTCTGGGCTCGCAGGAGAATGCTGTAGTGAGCAGCACTATGTCATTATATTGAGAAGGTGAAGAGTGAAGTTGAAGAGGACCTGTAATGCCACCAGACAGAAGACACTTGAAAAAAAGTTATGTATATTGATTTCTTTGGTGCAGGGATGCTACAATGGGGGAGAAAGGGGACCAGCAGGGAAGGGAGGTGGAGTGCCAAGCCTGGAATTGGACTTTACTTGGTGAAAATTGTATTAAATTGATTTTAAATGCAGCCATAGTAGTATGAACCCAAATTTGTCTTTATATTGCCTGTACAGCAACAATAATACTTTGAAAGGTAAAGCCAGTTATTGTGATTTGATATGGTGGTCTGTTTTGGTGCACAGTGCTGACAGTCTAGCACTGGGAAAATGCTAACTGGAAGGGAGAGCAATGGGATAATGTTATCAGTACATTGCTGGTCCTTCATTGTCCAATCTCCATCCTGGGTCCAAGCTTTGCTGCTATTGCATTGAAGGTCCACGACCTGGCTATCGTGTCTGTTGGATGGCATAACAAATTTATAGGTGGGTGAAACAGCCCCAATATATGTAATATATGTATTTTAACTGCGTGCCTGGAGTTCAGCTTTAATGGTTTAAGCCTTTGAGAAACAGAGGGTCAGTTCTTACGTACAATTATAATTAAATTCCCACGCCACTGGTAGATCTCCTGGAGGTCTCTGATGGAGGAAATTCTGATGGAAACATTTTATCCCAAATTAAAGCATTTACTATTCTCCAGAATGGCGGCATATGTGAGAGAAATTGTTACGTGTCCACTGTAAAGATTTTCAACCTATTATACACATTATAAAAATGTACCGAGGGCGTTTAACAGGCAGACGTCAGTTCGATATTAAAAAGAGAACTGAATTCTAAAGGTTGAATGTGATTTTTAAAATGTTCTGAATAGGAAATTGAAATATTTAAGACTTTTAAATGAGAAGAAAGTTGACTGGTTCTATCAGAGCCAAGCCCTCCGCTTTGTACTTCCTAAGACATGATCAAGTAAGATTTCTGTTCTACGTTACGCCCCTTGATAGCTCTATTGAATTTGTGATGCTGCCATACACATAACGATGTTGGCTGTTTGATCATAGATTTGATCTTTTTAAAGAATCCGTGGATTGAAAACGATTGTTTGATACCACAATGTAAACATTGAGTTGTTCAAATTCAGGTGGATCTTTCCACAAGGACCAGATGTTTAATTTGGAAGAATTGACCACTTATTGATTGCCCCACATAGCGCTCATTTCACCAAGTGTACTGGCATAGCCTTCCTCAATATCTACAGCACTAATTCAGGTGAGAATAGGGAATGTTTTTTCCAGTGTGTATACCTGAACCAACATTGTGTACAGATGCGTCTCCTGCACTCCTTACAGCATCTAGACCTTTGTTAACATGGTGCTCGCAGTGATAAGCACGAATGGTGCCATGCGTCTTCAAGTACAAGAAAATGGATGATCACCAGCACTCCGGAAATGTAGTTCAAATCCTAGTGTTAGGCTATTTGACGCATGTGACGTTGTGTTTCTAATAAATGAACACTAAGATTTGAACTACATCTCCGGAGTGCTGGTGATCATCCATATTCTGGTACCTGAACCAACAGACTTTGAGTGAAGCATTTGGACTTGGCGGGCTCTAAAAATAGTTCCACCTCCTAAAACCCTGACACACTGTTATGGACAATGTTTGTAAGTATGTCCACACTGCCATTTGTTGTACTGAACCAAAATAGTAAGTTATAATGATTCTACTCACTAACAGGCCATTGTACCATTGGGTTTGTCTATACTCATATGCTGACCAATAGTGCCGGTGGCCAAATGAGGACCAATTTCCTGGAAATTAGGTCAAACGTGGCCTTCCTTGGTTAATAACCAGCTGCCATACGGTATTCAAAGCTTTTACCTATCGGCATGGCCTTATAAAGACCACATTCATATAAATTGGGTCACACTCGGCCTTCCTTGGTCTAAAACCAGCTGCCATACTGTAGTCAAACCTTTTACTTATCATCATGGCTATATAAAAACCACATTCATATAAATTGGGTCAAACGTGGCCTTCCTTGTCCAATAACCAGTTGCCATACTGTAGTCAAACCTTTTCCCTATCATCATGGCTATATAAAGAGCACATTCATATAAATTGGGTAAAACGTGGTCTTCCTTGGTCAATAACCAGCTGCCATACTGTAGTCAAACCTTTTACCTATCATCATGGCAATCCAAAGACCAAATTCATGAAAATTAGATCAAACCTTCCTTGGACAATAACCACCTGCCATAATGTATTCAAACCTTTTACCTATTGTCAAAGTGTATTGTCATACACTTTGGTGCCACCCACACTGGTTTACAGGAACCTTACATAGTTATCGTGTGGAACGCCACTGAGCTGGATTACAGAGCTGACACTTAAAAGCCGGTCTGTTATTAATTAACATTTGCTTTCACATCATTAAACATTGGCTACAGACATATGTGCTGGTGCCCCCCTCCCCCCCCGCCCCCACGGTCAATGTCATGCTCTGTACTTCCTGTTTTGGGAATTTGTCATCACTGTGAGAACAAGCACACGCACACACGCACACACACGACTAGACACATTTGGTTGGAAAGGTCTCTTGATATTTCGTTTGACTTGCAAGACCAGTCACTAGGTGTGTGGACAGGAAGCAAATGAAGTGGACTTTGACACAAGTTTTGGGGTCAACGATGACTCTTAAGAACTCGGCTTCTTGCTGGTGACACTGTCTTTTCTCTCCAGGCGGGTGTAGGGCTCGAATGCCGAGCTACCCAGTCCGTAACCGGTTGGTATTTCATGGAGGGCTCCAAGTAGAGGACCTGGGAAACACAGGGGACCTGGTAGCCTCGGAGAAGTCGATGAAGCTAAGGACGGGACTTGGAGGGTGAAGGCCCCGGCTCCGGGAGGGCTACTGCTTATTCCTGGTGACGTGCTGCCCGAATTACCCAAGCTGGATCCATTGGCTGACGGGGTGCACATTGGGTTTTGACTAGGAGAGAGCAAATTGTGTGGTGCTGGTACGGACAACAGTCTACCTTGCTCCAATAACCGTAAAATATTGCAAGTCGCAAAGGATTCGGAGGTGGAAGAGGAGCGTTTCTCAGAGTCCCTGCTCTGGTCCTTCTTCTGCTTGGTCCTTCGGTTCTGGAACCAGACCTTGACCTAGGGGGGAGAAAGAGAACTGATAAACAACATTGTCATATATTTATCCCAAAGGAATAGAAAGAACCAATAACACAAAAAACAACAACATATACAATGGGGGGAATTTATCAAAACTGGAGCAGTTGTCCACAGTAACCAATCAGCTTCTCTCTTCTGTTTGTTCAGTTAAGCTTTGAAAATGAAATCTCGAAGCTGATTGGTTGTCAGATTCGTTAAATTCAAATCAATGTTTCTTATTATCTGTAGTTCACTGTAATTGTAAAGTCATTATCATCTTCATAGCCAAGTAAAGGAAAACATTTTCTCTCACTGCTGTGGTGATATGTAGGATGAATTACATGCCAAGGAGCTATTATTGTTGTCTGCAACCATTCAGCGGATCTGTTTAAAGAACTTCAGGATTTTAATAAGTTAATCCTTGAAGTGAGGCTCCCCCCACCCGCACTGCAAAGGGTTAACGGCTTGTTTTTCTCTAGGGGGAAATACTGACCTGATCCTCGATTCCAATCCCGTGGCAGTGACCGCTCACCTCTCTCCCCCTCTGTCCCGACTGTGACATGTCTTCACGTCTAAAAGACCTGTATTATATATGATGACATCACGGGACCTTAGACCACCGGAGTCTGGGGGAGAAGAGGCTACAGGGACCAGTCTAGCAGCCAAGGGGGACCGAGGAATCGGGTGAGTATATCTTTATTTTCACCCCTAGACAAAACGAGATCTTAACCCTTGCATTGCAGGGGCAGCCCCACTGCAAGGGTTAACTTTTCCAAATCTTGGAGTTCTTCTTTAGGTTTGGTCAGCTCTGCCCTACATAATCTCCTCTGTCTGTCAGCATAAAACATAGCCATATTATATGTGACGCCTGGGCAGCACATTGATGAGTTACTGCTCCAAGATAAGTCGTATCAAAACTGTATGACCAGTTCTGTGTCTTTGCTTCATGGCAGCTGTCAAAGCCCTTGGAAAGGAGTGCAAAACAGACGCAGGGGGTCTTTGAGGGGAGCCGTTCTGCTTTAACTAGCCACCCAACAGCAACAGTAACCTGCCCGGGGATCGTGAAAACCTAAAAGAGAACACCTTTTATTAAATGTATTTTAGCTTATTACCCTTTATTGATATACAACAATGTAGCTTTATAGTAAGCCAGGTTAAAGCTGAACTTCAAACATTGTCTAAATCCATGAGGAAGGGGGAAGGTGGGGGTAGGGACAAGCTTAAATGTTTAAGCTGGCCCCCGGGATAAGCAAATATTGTCTAAATTAGGGGTAGGCAACCTCCAGCTGTGGTGATACTACAAATCCCATCATGCAACTGCCTTCAGTAGCCATGCCTGTGGCTGCCAGAGTTTTGCAATGCCTCGTGGGATATGTAGTTCCATAACAGCTGGATTGCCGAGGTTGCCTACCCTTGGTCTAAACACAAGTCATGTCACTTCTTCCTTACACCTTGGTGAGCTTTGTGCATTTATTCCAGATCTGTGCAGTAATCCAATGTGAGACTTGGACCTTCCTGTAATAAAGCAGTTGCATCACAAGGGGGTGCGGCCCGCACCCGGGTGACACCATTGGTGGGGTGACACCAAAATGACTGACAGTCATTTTGGTGTCACCCCCTCTGAAAAGTCGGGCTCTCGCTCATGGACCGTGGGCCCGACAGTTGAAGGAGAGAGAGAAGGGGAACCGGGGACATACCTTATCCCGCCGGGTGAACGTCCCCTCCTCTCTCTGCCGGCGTCCATCACCAAGATGACTGCCGGCAGGTATCAAAAAGGTAATCGCGCACGCGCACGGTGATCACACGCGCGCGGTGATAACATGCGCATGCGCGATGACGTCACGGCGGGGTGTCACCCAGTATCTGCTCCGGGTGACACCCGGCCTAGGGACGCCCCTGAATAAAGACCACTCACTGCTGCTCTCGCTCCTCATGCAGGGTGACTGGTCTTATCTCCGCCCCCTCCTGTAGTTTCCTGTCGTGGGCGGAGCCTACTGGGTCCCTCCCATGGCTCTGCTCTCTGCACAGATTATGTACAGCACAGTGAAGATGTCACTGCTAACTTTACATGGTATTATCTGGGTTTATAAAGGCGTTTGGTGCTCACAAACTGGAATTATATCCTTTTGTGGCTACTGAGGAGTATATTTAAATGAAAGTTTTTGTGCCTGCAGTTCCTCTTTAAAAAAAAAAAAGACTCACGTCCATTGAGTTCAACCTGCATTGGACAGTGAGATCTGTAACAAGTTGGTTACAAAATTAATTAATTAATCTATTTATTTATTTATTACATCGGCCAACAATTCAGATTTAGTTGTTTTTGTTTCAATCGCGGTAAAATAAGTAATTGTGCCTTTAAAATGAAACAAAACCATGATTCGGAGGGAAAAAAAAGATTTCGGCGCTCCGGCCACACAAGCCCCATCCTGCCGTCTGCCATGCCGGCTCTTTTATAGAGCGGTTAATTAGCTTGCCCGTCCCAGGCTGCCATTGATGGCGGTTTGTATGGGCGCTCAGCGTGCATTGTGGAAAGAGCCGCCTGCGAAATGGAGTTTCTCGAGGGAGTATAGAAAAGTTTCCCCACTTCCCTTTTCAGCCATAATT